CAAGTGGCCATTATGTTTATAATCAACAGAGACAAACAGGTTAAAATTTATAGGAAGAGTTTAGGAGTACCATAGCACCCTTCAAAAGCATTTGTTGGCATTGCCTACACACTAGACTGCATAAAAAGAGGAAGGCTGCCTGGCTAAATATGCTCTTGGGGCACAAAAAGAATCACAGTTGTACTCCTTCGTATAAAATATACCTCCTCCTCTCTTATATTTTCTTAAAAGCAAAAGACAGAAATGATCCTAACTCCACTCACCTATGTCTTTATAATAAAGTTTGCCCTCTGCATTGGTCCCTGTAGCCTTAAAGGATGAGATAAAAACAGCAACATTTTGTAGCACCACGTAGTAAGAACCAGTTTAACACATAGTGAATAGCCAATACTGAAGATTTCATTGAACAAATAGCCATTGATGGATCACCCAATTCTAATACCTGCATGAAAACACCCCAAAACAGCTCAATTGCCCCATGAGCAGTGTCCAGTTCTATGTGGAATGACCCAGGTAACACTAGAAATCCCAAGGCAGGTGACATGGGACCTATGCAAGAGCTGTGCCTCGCTGCAGTGGCATCTATCAAACTGCTTTAGCTATCTCTGATGGAAAACTCAATTGAGTCTTCAGCATCCGTAGAGATGTGTAAGCAGTACTAGTTTCCTCTGATTGTAAATGCTGAGCTAACCTTGTTTCGTAAATGATGTGATCTGTGTGTGAAGACAGAGGCTATTTTGCTCTCTTCAAATTGTTTTAGCATTTGATTGCAATACATATGTTCTTCTTTCAGTAGCAATTTTAGATTGCTCTAAACAAGCTAATTGTATTTCACAACACCCTTGTGCACTAGGAAAGTATTGATTTTCTTATTTTGCAGTCAGGGAAAAAGAGAGGAACAGGCAGGTTAAGTGACTCTCTGAAGGTTAAACAGTAAGTCACTGGCAAAATCTGAGAAGATCCTGATTCTCCACCACTGCTTGATTTATCCACAGACCACTAACTCCCACACTAAATACTGAGATGATAATAAATGTGTGATTTTTCATATCCTGAACTGCAGAAAGGAATCCTACACAAAAGATGTCTTTATGAAAGGACACAGGTAGCCATATCAAAACTTCAGAGTTCCAAATGGTCAGTGTACAGATAAACTGTGTACAGATAGCTAAAAATTCTAAGGGTTTTGACAATCTGTGTCATTGCAGTGAACATATTATCAGAGAAGAGTTTAAAATTGAATCATCCACCCATCAAAAACATCATTAAGATAAACACATCTTCCTTGGAAAGGACATCTTACCATCAACCTGTAAGTCTTTGGGCTTGCAGTCTTGGGGCAAGCACTTAGGGATAATTTCTCAGCGTATTGGAAAGAGCCCTATCTACCCTTCTGCAAGCCAAGAAATTTTTTCCTAAACAAATAAGACAAATTAACATATTCACTTCAGAAAATCAGCTCTTTGAAGAAACACTTTCAAGGCTATTTTCACACCATCTTAAAGTGTTCTTAAAACTATCTTTTGCCATTGCATGAGCTGGAGCTTACCTCCAATATGTGTGTCATTTCAGTTTTTTTTTTCTCCAAAGAAACAGCAATTTAAGCAAATAGTAAGATAACAAGTAGCAATAATTTGATATTGTTGTAATATCCAAAAGTTTAAGTCAGGATGAGGGACCCAAACTGTTTTAGGTTCTGTAAAAAAATATACGTGCAAAGAGTTTATAAGCTAATTTAAATGAGAACAATAGGTTGTTTTAACAAATAGCAGGAGGAGTGTGTGCATAAGAAATGACGGGAAAAATAATTACAAGAGTTACTGTCTTTGCAGACTGCTATAAATCCAATGAGAGTGAGAACTGGATTGCCCAAATCCTCCCAAATGAAAGAAGCAAAAATCAGTGATCAGTAGATTAAATGTTTAATGACTATAAATCCAGGCTAATACTATCAGTTACACAAATCTCAGACTTAAAAGAAAAATACATGAGGCCAGGTAGTGTAAGACGCTATACCTTACTCAGGTATTCAATGACTTTTGGGATGGAATTTGATCAGTTGAGGAACGGGATTATACCCTTTGATTGCATGGGATAGTAGGGGAGTTAACTGTACTTCCAGGTTTATGAAATATTGCTTTATCTAGAAAGCACACACAGCACATAGAGGAACAACACAAATACCCTTCATACCTCTGATGAGTGGATACTGCACAACAGGATAAAAGCACAGTTCAGACTCTATGCCCTAATCATTCCAGTCTAATGGCTGAGAAATCAACCTCCAATTAGCTGTTTGTCAGACACCATCCCTCATGTCAATTCTCCTCCTTTAAACCCATGCTCTCCACAAAGCCTTTCTATGGTGTATTGATCTTTGCTGATGTGACCTGAGAATACCAGTTTTATGCCATCAAGCTCTAATCCATTTATCTATCTAAATATTTATAGTACTATGGCATTATGGAGTTTGAGTGATTCATTTCACTGACCACCATCCTGACCCAGGTTCAAATCCAGCAACACCATCATTCCCAAGCCAGTCATATCTCCGTAGAAAAATTGCTCGTCTTCAGAAAATGTGTATTGTTTCTAGAAAATATTGCCTGGAATAATCTAATCTAAAACAATCCTTGAGGACACCATAGCTCTCTTTCACATTTTAAGATTGCTGGCATCCTTGCCAGAAACATCAGCTGAAATACTTTAACTACTGTTAGTACAAGCTAGCAAACAAAATTCTTACTAGACAAAGCTATGTAAACCACAGGTATTCTGACAACCAGAATATGGGACCATCACATGATCACATGCTTGGATGCCCCGGTATCTGAGAGTGAACATTAACTGGATATGTGTTCTGCTTTTAAGAATTAGGGCTGTATTTATCCTAGTACTGCCAGATTTCTACATGTGGATCTTTGTATCTAACTTCACTTCTTAACTCCAAGAACATCATAGACTATATGAAACATAGCACAAGTTATGTTTCACATAGTACATGAAGAACAAACTACATACAAGACTGTATTCATTCATTTTATGATTCTAGAATTTATGTTCATTAAATGTTTGCTAACATTTCTATCTAGGTAAATATATTCCTGTTTCAAAAACTCTTATCTGCTGTGTCTTCTACCCACCCCACTAATTCTTCAGTGGAACTACATGTGTGTAATGGCATAGGACTATTCATATGTGGATTAAAGGGCTGGACCTTAGAAAACTTTTCCTTAACAATTTGCCTTGTCCCTATCGCTGATTTTTATCTATTTCCCAAGTCCCTCAGGGAATTAGAAATTAGCATTTTTTGCATCCTTCCTGGCTATACATTAGTACCCTTTCCACCCAATGAATGAAGTCAATACACTGAAGAGAAATAACAGGTAGGATTCTGCAGTCCTTAGCAGGGATTTATCTCAGCAGAAAGGAAAGCTGCTGAGTTTGAGGTGTTTTACCTGTTTCAGTACCCTGAGATTTTGGATACATTAGTAGATTGTGACTAACCACCTGTTGGATCCATATGCTTGAAAGATGATTGCCAAGAACAGGAGCTATACACAGAATGCCATCAGCACAGGCACAAAAAGGGAAAGAGAGAAAACAGCTTTTTTTTTTCAGTAAGAAGCATTTTTTCAATACATAAAATGAAGTAGAATGAAGCAACAGCAAACACAAATTCACAAAAGCAGCTGGGAAAGCATATTTTCCAAGTACAATTTTGACAGTAAGTATGGAGTACAGAGCTACTAAAATCATCAAATCTCTGTTAGTGCCACTACTCATGTGCTCCCTGTGAAGCAGAGGCTTGCATGCTGCCTCCAGCCTCCACCTAAATAAAGAGGTAGTAGGGTTTAATCTAAGGCTAAATCGTGTACACTATTCAAATGCCCCATCTGATCTGCTCAGCATCTAGATGCCTATCTTGCTGTATCCTTTCTACACTAGAAAAAATTATTCATAGTATTTTTTTGTAAAAATAGAGCATGGAGGATGACAGACTGACCACTATAATCAAACCTGTGGAACAAAAATGAATAATTAAAGCCCATGCTATCGCTATATCCTTCCTGCAGTCACTGGCAGCAGTTCTGCTGCAAACCTGAGCATATGGCTTCAACTTGTTCTGTTCTTGTTCTGATGCACAGAAATATGACACACCGCATACGAATTGCTGTCAGGGGGAGGGGGAGGGAGGGCTAAGTTGCTTTTGCTGCAGGTTGCATATGAACCTCCTCCCCCTGCCTGAAAAGGAGAGTATTTCATTATGGTTTATGTTAAATCACAACTTGGATCATTTTACTGAAAACCACTGCACTGGCGTAAATCTCCCTCCACACAAACACACTCCCCAGGACAGACTCCAAATCTCACTGTAGAGTTAATCAAACTACCCACTTGGGCTGATCAGTTGTTAACAGGACGAAGTCAAGAGTTTACAGGTCCCTTTGGGCTCCATTATTTAATGTGTCTTTTGTATTGGTCCCATTACAGCCTATATTGCAGCAGCATTTTGCTCCAGTCGCCAACAGACGTTTGCTGTGGAGGAGCCCTGAGCAAGCTGGGCTCACATCCCTGTCCACCCCAGCAGACACCACCCAGTTAGCAGAGACAATGATCACGGGAAGCAACAAAGGAGCCACAGATAAAACAAAACAAACAATGCGCTGAGCTGCAGACTACGGCCATCCCAGGCAAGTGTGCGAGGGAAATTCTCAAGAAAAAGGGAGGGGAGGGAGAAGAAACAGCAAATACAGAACTATAAAACTTGCATCTAAAGCAGGTTTTGCCTATGCACCCACCCAAGCCTGGATCCGAGGAGCATTTTCTAATGCACTGCCAAGACTGAGAAAGAAAGACTGAGCAGTGCACATGGGGAGCAGACGAGCAGCCAGCGTCCCCTCCCATCTGGAGTCAAATAGTCTCCTAGAGTCACTAGGCAAGAGGAATAATAATAAATGTTATTATTATAGCAATAGTAGTAACAGAGAATCACCAACCTTGAGGATCCCAGTTCACCTGTTTTCTTGGAGTCTCGATTGGAAATTTCATCGCTTCCTTTTTGCACAGGGAGGAAAAAAATAAATAAATAAATTCCCAACCTTCCTGTCTCAGTGCTGCAGTCAAACAAATTAATTTCAAATTATAGGGAGCCTGCGCTGTTTGACTGAGGGGAACTGGTGGTTGCCAAGGAAAGAAATACACAAATAAATCAAGGAAGGTGGAGAGGGGAGGGAAGGGGAGGGTAGTGGAGGGCTCTGTACTGGCGAGGTGAGGAGGGATGCGGGCATCCCTCCGGAGACAGGTGCGGAGATGGAGAGAGCAGCAGGGAGGGTCTGGAGAGCAGGGACAGAGCGGACGGGGATGGGCAGCAGCTCCGGGGCTCTGGGGAGGCTCCCAGGGCTCTCTCGCCGGGTCCACCTGCACATATAGGGTGACGGGATCCCCACTGCTGCCCAGTGGCTGTGCCCACCCGAGGGGGCAGTGGGGCTGGGGGCTGTCGCCCCACGGGCGCCTCCCACACACACAGCCTCTCCAGCCTCTCCACCCCAAAAATGAGCCCACCTCAGCTCAGCCCCAGCACTAGGGGGGCAACAAGAGTCATCCATGCGGGGCGAGCCGCAGCAGCATGGCTGCGGGAGCCTGGGGACACCCCGCTGAACGCAGCAGCAGCCCGGCTGGCGAGGAGGAAGGGGAGGAGGAAGGAGCCACCCTGCAGCTTTGGAGGGAATTCACTGAGCCCCTCTCTGCCCTGGCTTAAAAAGGGGTGGGGAGAGGAAGGTAGGGAAGAGGCTGCGAGTCCCTTTGTAAGAGGAGGTCTTGCTGGGTGCTCTAGGGAGGGGACGAGAGCGGAGGGAGGAGGCTCCCTCTGGTACTTACTGGGTATCCTTCCCCGGAGGAGGATGCAGGCTTCTTTGGCGGAGTTTGCAGCCGGAGACACGCTCGAGCAGCTAGTAGCAGCAGCAGCACATGGCACGAGCACAGCAGCATCCAGAGTGCCCGCAGCACAGGGGGAGGGGAAGGATGGGCAGAGGGATTGGCAAAGCCCACTCCGCGGTGTGGGGCAGCCCTGGGATCGGGCGCCCTGCCAGCAAGACCCTGCCCCTTATCTCTCCGTGTTCCCCTCAAGGCAAATCCAGGCAGAGTCAAGAGATGTGGTCTCCCTGTGGGGAAGGGGCCGGAGGACTGGGAAGGAGGCTCAAGGAGTCTCTGTGCCCTCCTTAGCTCTCAGAGGCTTGGAGGAAATGGAGGACACTTGGCTTCTACTTTTGGCCATTTTCAGGTACTCGTTGTTAGCCAAGGCTGCAGTCTTCCTCCTCGCCCTCCCGCTCCAGGTGAGGATGCTTTCTGCTCTCCAGTCCACAACAGACTGGTACCAGTCTATGTTGGAAAGGTCTCTAGCTCAAGACACAATATTTGCCTCAGGCTCCCTCTCTTAGCCAGGAAAACAAAACCCCAGCCCCTGGGGACTGAAAGGAAGAGTGTGTGAGGTTAACCCTGTCCTGCCTCCTCGCTCACAGATGAGCTCACTGCACGAAAGGGAAAATTCACTGGGATAGTCTGAGAGAGATATCCCTAAATTCACATGGGTCATGTGTCAGTGACCCATATCAGAATCAGTCCTGAGGTCAGGACCTTCTGAATTTTCAGGAAACATAGTTGTAATTTAAGTTTACTCCCTAAGGAAATTTTCTCCCTCCTTTTGCTCACAATCTATTTTTGTTCAGTTACCCTCTCTATCTGTCTTCCCTTCCCATCTGTTGCTCAGATATTAGTTAGCTGTGAGAGAGGGTGAAATCTTCCCTGGTGAAAAACAACGTAGTTTGAAATGTTGTTGCTCGCCTCAGGAATCTGTTATGTGGAGGTTAGCCCACTGTTTTTGTATCCACATTCAGAAGTTAAATAAATGCACAAATTCATGTCTGCCCTCAGTCTTTGTTCAGCCCTAAACAGGAAGAGCAGATCAATATTAGTGGATCCACTTTTTATACATTGGTGGTGTGCAATAACATAGTTTGAAGGAACTCGAAGGAAGTAGTGCAGCAAGTTTTCCTGGGGGGAGGTGCCTGGGTTTCTCTGCTTAATCCAAGCACCCCTGTGGCTCTTGTTTTGTGCTGTACAGAGGAGGCGGGAGAGGCTGCTGTAAGGGAGGACATGAAGAGAATGATAATGAGCCCGCTCAGTCATACTTGAATTTGAGATGATTGCAGTGATGACACCAGGAGCACAAGGCATTTCCTTTGCAAGCAAAACATGATGCATTCTGAAGAGGCTTCGGGATCCCTGCTGACGTTGCTTCTGCAAACTTAAAGGAAACAAAATTGAGTGTAGACCTTGCTAATTGTGCTACGTGATTGCTTGCATCATGACTGGGAAATATTTTCATTATCCTAGTATGCAAGGAAGACTTAAAAAAAGACTTCTCAATCCAAAAGAAGTTCGCTTGTCAAAGTACATCAATAGAGGACTACTTACATGACACACATGTGTATATGTATAACTTTTTCTCAGCATTCAAAAGTTTCCTGTTTACTGGTATCCTACTTGTACTTTACTGAGAAAAGAGACAACATACAGTCATATATAACTCGATCATGGTGATGACCAGCAACTGATGAGGTGAGTTTTGTGCTGCAGATATCTGTCCACTGGGAACTCACCTGAGATCATCAACCTCAAACAGGCTACTGAAAGACCAACAGCATTCTACTCCCACTAACATAAGCAGGAAATAACTATATGGCCTAGAGGTGAAATCTTCAGGTAGTTCATTACCAAGCCTTTGAAAAAAATAGACCTTGGTCATTATGATTTAAAGAAGAATTTTTGTATGGTCAAATGTATCTTACTATTATTAAATTGACCACAGGAAGACATCTCATATTTGTTTGATTTATGCTATCATAAAAATACTAGAACTCATTATAACGACACAATATTACATTTCTGTCTCTTGCATGTTCTTAACATTCCCCTATTTCCCCAAAGTACCTCTAAGCTCTACACAAATATTTGCCCTGACTTCAGCTATATGGTTTAAAAATCCTGTGGCAAATGAGTTTTGCTCTTTTAAGAACACTACCAGGTACAGAAACTTAGGATATCAATTAATTTTGCAATTGTTCTGCAATTTTTTGCTGTGTTGTGATCACGGAAATCTTACTTAATTATTTCAATGCCTCAGACTTGCTGTTCTTATCTAGTGGGCCAATTTATTCCCAAAGTAACTCATTTAAAACCAATGAGGCTACTACAGAGATGAATTTGGCACAATGAGTGCATCTTTCCCAGACAGCACAGCTGTTGCATAGAAACTAACTATTATCTTATGCAAATAAAGGCCTTTCACCCCTCAGTGATGTGGAATTCTCATGATAGGGAGAACCGGGGCCTTTAAGCTGTAGTGTTTCAAGCTGTTATTCTGTCAACTTTTATAAGTTAAGTGGATTCAGTAATGTTTAATATTTAAATGGGGGACCACTAGGAAAAAAACATAGGTAGAGCATAATTAATCTAATTTTCAGGACTTGATTTCACGTTGGTAATTTATCAAACTGATTTACCTAAATTCTTTTTTTTCATTTACGGCTCGTTGCTCAAACGGAGTGCCCTCAGAGTTAGTGTAGGTTGAGAATCAGCGCCTTACACAACTGGGCCTGTGACTGTCACACCACAGGAGACAAGATGCTTTCTATTTGCAAGCCATTTTGCTGACAGAAGAATAAATTACTAAGTGTCCTTTTATTGTTCATTAGTAATATGGCATCGGTGATTTAGGTGCTGCTCTAATGTAGCTCAAAGGAAGTCGCAGCAATACAGATGAATAAATAGAGCCTAGACCTACTTAAATTCAGTGAACAAGAATGGGAAAAAAAAAAAAAAAAAAAGCACCAACAGCACACAGAAAACACCTGAAACTTCTATATTCCATTTCTTGGATGCACTGAAGATATGAGACTTGGTCGGACAGACACTTGTGACAGCCTTTCTGTCATTTGCAACACTCATGAACATTATCATTCACTATGGGGCTGAACATCGAGTTCTCTGGAAACTGAAAGTTCTGATTTTGAAGATTATTCTTTGTTCAGATTATTGCCACAGACATGCTCTTATTTATACTCAGAGCAGGAGAGCCAGAGGAAACCAAATGAAGTGCATTCTGCTCTTTATACTCTATTGACCCATCCGTCAGTACAACGCATTTGGACAGGATCCAATGCAGAGTCCTTTTATTGCTCTTTATTTCCTAGGAAGCCTTCTGTCTAGGCAGACCTTTTCAAGCCTCCTCTCTAGGCTAACCTGAAAAACATTCACCTTTGCCAGAATTGTTTTCAGAAACTATAGTCTAACTAGGAATCAAGATGTCAACTACGAATTGGGACTGCTGTGTACTATGCAGGGAAAAAAAATCTACTATTTTTATTAAGTATTATGTTGTATGAAGTTCCTTAGCTGTTGTTAAATGTCTGTGTACAAAGAAGCCAGGTCTCCACTCATTCAGGGGTGAATCCGGGGAACAGTAAGTATAATTCTTATTGCCAGAAATAATTTCAATGAAATCAATGAGAATACAACACCTCGGTAAAAGCCGTTTCCAGGTTCGTATCTTCTCAAATCTGACCTTCAACAGCCTGGCTAAAGGATCTTTGCCCAGAAACACCCCACAGAATAGATCGTAGATCCTCCTTTCATGTCTTAACGTATTATTCATATTCCCAGCTGCACTAGAAGTGATCCTTCCCTAAATGCCAGAACTGGAAAAGGGATACTTGGTGCATAGTTTTTAATCACCTTCTTCATTCTCAGTATCCATTTTCCTGGTATCCATTTTTCCTTAGCAAGACTCAGATTTTTAGATATTCCTTTTGTATAGCCAGCAAGGAGTGGATATATCAGGCTTTAAAAACTGAGAAAAAATACAAAATTGAAGAGTATATGAATATTATTAGCAAAAGAGTAGTAGCATTTTTTCATTTTTTTAAAAAAAAGATCTACCCTGTCAAAGGGCAGTATTAACTCAAGCTGCATCATACCAAGTCTCTGTCTGAACCCTCTTACATCTGTTTCACATTAGTTTAATTTAACT